GCCATAGATTTTAAAAAGTGACGAATTTGTAAAAGCGAAAAAAAAAAAAAAGGCTACACAAATTCAACAAAAAGTGAGAAACACTAAAAAAAAGTGACGTAAATTAAAACATTTTTATTCTTCCCATATATTTATTGCAAAAATTGATAAATAGATAAATTACAAGTCACGACTATATCAATCGGTAAAGAGCTAAGAATTCATCAACCCGGGACATAAAACTAGCAAACCTAGACATGGAATTGACATGATCAATTGATCCAAAAATCAAACCATCTTCAAATTCTACTAAATTCTTCCCACTAAAATCTCGATCCCTCCTCAAGCCACCAAAAACAGCACAATCGACATTTGGACTGATATAAATCAGGTTAGAAGGAGGTTGAAACACTATAATCCTCTCGTCCAAGACCTCACCATGTGGTAACAAAAAGTAGATATGGCTAAACAAATTCATTTACACGGTCTGACCACAGATAACCTTTAGTTGATAGAAAACTATCCAAGAAAACAATATTCAGTCAAAGCTTGGAGAAGGGCTCCATTTGCCTTGGAAATAATCCTTGACCAAGATGGTTTGCTCAGTGCTGCTACTAGAACCAGAGCCTTCCTCCAAATTAAGCAATAAGCAGTGCAAGATTAATAAAAGATTGAAAACTTCTCAACTTGAAAAATGATTATTATGCGATCATTGCCACTGAGATTGTGAGTAACAAGCCCGAATTCATTGTCATCTCCCCCTTGATAGCTGAAAGGAGCTCTACAAGTGCCCCAGATGAGAACTCAAATCTACCTGCAAACTGTCAAAGAGAGAGCATATCACACATACATATATTTCAAAATCGTGGAGAAAGGAAGCATAACAATCTCATTTGCTCACCTTCATCACTGAAATACGTATCTTTTGTCGCCATTTTTACGAGTTTTTCACCTCTGTTGACCTTAACATCATTGGATTCACTAACTTTTCCAGGTTTGCAATTTTTTTCCTTTTTTATTTTTTATTTTTATCTCAACAACCATCTCAACAAAGCCATCATTTTGCAAATCACCATTTTTCGGCATGTCACCTTTTTCAACAATGCTTTTCTTCATGGGTAAATCCACGGCCATGTTTGCTTTCTTTGTTTTTTCATCAAGTTCCTCACTTTACAAATCGGACAAAATATCAATTACAATAGGATCATTTTTTCTCTACAACTCATTTTCACCCTCGCATTCCGAAATCGAGTCCTCAGAATCCCTAGCTTTTGTCTCCAAAGAGTTTTGACTCAATCCCCAATCTAAAACCCTATTTTTCTTCAAATTAACAAATCCACTTCCTGAAGTTCCCTCACCCAAGTCATCCGTTCCTACGCCACCTCCCTATACAGCCAACTAGCCAAGTTTGACAGCCTCAAGCTCTCTCACCCCCACAATCAACGATTTGGTCATTTGTATTGATGAACGTATATTATACAGTTAAAAGTTGAAAGAGTATAAATCAATTTACTAATTAATAGGCGTGTTGGGCCTAATTATCCCTTTTAAAAAATTACTATAGGCATCCATGTCATATTTCAATATTGTCCTTATTAAATTAATTCATTTAAACACTATATATCCATACAAAATTTATATATTCATCACACTCTAAATACATCCCCATACAATTTCAAATTTTTTAAAAATCATTATATTCAACCCTATTACATATTAGACAAAACGTATATTCACAATAAAATTAAATGTCATGTAGGTGTGTTATTTGCCACATGAATTGGTCTGTTATATTTGATTGGCGAATATTCATTTTTGTATTGATGAAAATCAAAATAAAATAAAATTTATATATGAATTTGAAACAAAGGATAAAGTTCATGTACTTTAATTGAGGCTAACTATGTCATAATGGTTCCGAAATTCGTAAGTGTTGGCCATCATCATGACTATAATTTACATTAAAATTGTAAGCTCAAAATCAATTAGGACAATAATAATAGTGTTTTCATTACATCTTTCACAACTCATGACTGTCAATTGTTGGTTCGAGGCCTGGTTACAATACCAGCACACAACTTGGAGCTTAAATCATTACATCTTTCTCTCCTTTCTCGATCTCTCTCCCCCCTCTAGTTTCCTCCTTTGTAAAATGAATAACTTTCCTTTCATTTTAATAGATTAATATATAATGCAATTGCAATTCAAGTCCTTAATCTTCTTACAATATAACTTTTAGTCATCTCATTTATCATATTAGATATTAAATCCCTCGATTCCTTTTTATATCATTTCCGGCCCTTTAAGTATTAGCAATTGCCAGTTAGACCTCATGAAAATCATTTATTCAACTTATTTGGCTTTGACTTTAACTAGTTGAATTACTTGACTGTGACTAAATTGACTTTGACTATAAATGAGTAGGGTGTAACATCACATTTCATGTAGAACATTTTAAAAAGGCTAAATATATTCACTATATAGCTTTTAATAACTAAGCTATATTTTAATAAAATGAAAACATTCATAATATTTATACATTATCACATTTATGTCTCAAACTTTTTTTATCGTATATTTATTCGCAAATTGACATAAATTGTTCTTAATTATGACTTCTCTCCAAAATTTTATAGAGTAAAAAGACTTGTTGCCTATTGCATTTTTAAATAAGCAAAACAAATAATAATGCAAAAATGTGATTAAATATTTTACCCTCATTTTGAAGTACATTAATAACATTTTTATACAAAAATTATGATTATGAATAAAATTTTCTGATCATTGAAATGTTAAAAATAAAGATGTGATAAAAAAAAAGTTAAGGATATAAATGTAATAATGAATAAGATTCATGACTTTTAATATAATTAAAATGAGGTGCATTTGAAAAAAAAAAATTGTAGTGTGAATAAAACCATCCAAAATGGCCATTTTTTTCCCATTTTATAAGTTTTGGACAAAAATGACCTTACAAACTTTTTTAAATTACTTTTTTGTAATACAAATTCTTCCCGTCCATCAACCTCGTTCCCACTACAGCACCTCCAGCATCTTCTTCCCAATCCAACCACTGCCAACCCATTCCCACCCACTCCGGCAAAGGGTCATGACTCGTTGTATCTTTTGTAATTTTTGTGCATTTGTAGGCATTTTCTTGTAAAAGAACATTAAATATTAATTTTCTTGCATTTTATTTTGATTATTACGTGTTTGGCGGCCAGGTGTTCCCAGTTTACATCGTATCGTTGCCTTTTTAATTGGTTTAATTCATATTACACTACGAAAACTCTTATCATTTATTTTTTCGAAAACAAAAATCATTATAGTCATAGCATGTCAAAGTAAAAATACACTCGTAAGATTGTCTCTAGCTCTATAATCCACCATCCCATGTCCTTAAAAGCCCTCTCGGGGAACTAACCCTCTTCCTCAACAAAAGTCTTCAAATTAGGTGCTTTTATAGTTGACAATATAGAAAGAGTATGTCCGCTATCAATTCATAAATATTCGTACCAATTTCATCATTTTATATGACTAACTCTGTCCTATAAAAATAGACTTCATTTCATTTTTCGTTTTTTCCAAATTATAGGCCACTTTTCTTATTGGAAGTATGGATATTTTTAATTTTCTAATGCCTCGATTTAATTTTCTTATATAGCCCCGTTTGAGCCACATTATCGTAAAAATAAGAATGAAAAATATAATCGTTATGAGCTCCATACAAGGGAAAAAAGTCAAATATAGTGACTTAATGTGATGAATAACGGTTATATTTTTCATTTTAACGAAGTAAACCAAATAATTAACCGTGGTGTCATAGCGAACAGTTATAGAACTTAAAATTTTTGGTTTAAATTTTTATAATTGTTCTCTCGCATTTTGTGAAATTTATACCCAATAAATTATTGTGTTCAATCATTTACGAATTTTTCCCACGATCAAGAAATTCTTCCGCCTTACGGTTTTTTTTCCTCTCGAGTTAAAATGATTATTGAAATTTATGATTAATTTATAAATCTTTAAATTATGCATGTTTTATTTTCTTAAATATGTATGTATATTTTTAATTGATTGGCACGTCTTCGTATTACACTGACGGACTTTTAGTTCTAGAAGTCATAGTATTTGTGCATGTGATCCAAATCCACTAAACAGCGAAATAGACGCAACGAAAAATAGAGATAGAGCAGACTGGCGTGCAAAAACAAAACTATCTATAATTTTGACACAATAAACAAGCCATTGAGAACTCAGCAACTTCCTATAATGACCCATTTCCCTAGGTGCATATATGCATCAGTATATAATAAAGGTAATAGTCGAACCTGTTTTACACCTCTACATCAAATATCAAATCAAAAAGTACCCATTGGAGGGTGCGAGGGCGGTATTGACCTATTTTATTACTCTCACACAATATATATAAACATGATGTATTTTACAATTTCGTAGTATAATCATTCAGAGTAATCGCATCTCTTGTACTCATCTTTGATATAGTAAATTTCTTATTCTCTGCTTGTGATTTTGTCCATTCTTGGATTTCTACGCAAATCTTGTGTTCTTGTTCTTATTTTATATATATATTGCCTATTCTCGTTTTTTCATAACATGACTGATATTTAAAGTTCGTATGTTAGGTCAATGCGGTATTGCTATTTCTTTCTGATGATAACCTAAGGGACTACTAGAGGATTAGAATTCGAAGAATACTCCAATTTCCAGTGCATTGATTTTCCTATCATCAAGTTTCAATGTAATTGAGCTAGCAACAATTTTTTAACAAGACATCTTGTTCTCAGCCCAAACAAATTAAAAGCAATGAGAAAAAGGTAACGCGCAGCCTAACTTCACATTTGTGGATGGGTCGCAATGTTTGCTCAGGACTCGTTCTTCGTCCCAGCATCACAACTCCTTTTTGGTTTTGGCGTTCTGGTGTTGTCCATGTGAGAAACCTGTATAGATTCCCGGAATTAGTTAGAATTTTACAAATTTGAAAAATCAATCACTAAAATTATATAGGCAAAAGAAGTTTGGATAAATTGCATACTCCCCAACCAAATGGTCGTCACTAACACTTCCATGCAACAAAAAAAATAAAAAATAAAAAATTGTTGAGCTGACTTTTTAGGTCGACTATTTCGGACAAAAATCACCAGTGAGGAACATTTGAGACAAAAAATTAAAAGGTTGATGAGTTCAATGCCAAGAAAAAGAAAAGGTTGGGAATAAAAGTACAAAAGGGGATATAGGTTTGGGACAGTGCATGAAATAGAAGTATGACCAGACATATACATACACGGTGGAACATGCAGAAGCACACTCCCGCATATGGAGAAATAGATAGATATAATATAGAGAATTACAGCAGTTCTGGAATCCTTACAATGCAAGATTTCCATTCTATTTTGGAATGCTCATCCTGGGAGTCAGTTTGCAACGAGTGGTTTCGTACATGCTGAAATATGTGGAGGAGGACAGCAGCATCAAGAGCAGCATACTCCAGCTGCACAAATAGACAGAATATACATTGGAGTTCAAAAATCAAGCAACTCCCATATAATGAAATAGCCACCTCACGAGTTTCATCAGGAAAAGATTAAACCATTTGATTAAGCTAGAACCAAATGCAGACAGTTACTATAGGTTCCAAGGCTTTTAAGAGTACCACTTATTTGGCAAACATTTTCTAGAGCATCCCTCATTTCTTATAAGCTTGAAAGACGAAATATTTATCACAGTTGTGGCAAGAGGCGTAAATTGGGTCATGTACCTTGTTAGGTGCACTGACATGGCTGGGCCTATCATATTTCTTGTATTTAATTGCAATTTTTTTTTCCCTTGGGATGCAGAGTCCACTGCATAGTCTAACACACTGCATTAAACAAAGCCCTTCTTTGCAACTAACATTAGGGAAAATTGCAACAGCGGTCCCTAAGCTTTGAAATTTTTGCAGACTTTACCCTAACCTTTAGTTTGTGGTGATAGAAATCCCCCAACCTTTGAGAAATTAGCAGCTGGAGTCCAAATGGATTAAAAACATCCATTTGACCGTTAGTTGATCAGAAAAATTGATTTTATTCAAATATAAGAAGGGTAAAATGGTAACTTTACAAATTTAACCTAAAATATTCAAAGGTTAGGGACCACTCCTGCAATTTTCCCTTAATACTATAACACCATCTTCTTTTTCCACCAAAAAAAAAAATAATAATAAAAATAAAAATAAAAATGGAGAGGTGCTCGGTTCGGCTCAAGTGGGTAATGAGCCCCTAACATAGGGGCTCAACACCAACTCGGTTCACTGCACAGCACAGACCAGGCCATGCTGCATGGACATTCCAGCCCTGGGCAGTCCGGTAAACATGTGTTCCTCTAGATGTGGCTGATAGTTTACTCAATGCAGAACGTGAAACACTTGCCTGATACTGAGTCAAAGGTCGTTGCTCCCAGTTGCTGTTTCGTGTTGTTTTGTTCAAACCATTTCCCAGTATCTTCTGTTTCCATGAATACAATGTCCATGAGAGGCTTTAATTGATAACCACATGACCATAATGGAAGCAAAAAAAGAATCAACTAAACAAAAATGGGGCGCAAACTCATAATGGTCAATGAAATAGCACATTGCGAAAAAACAAGTATAGTTGGTGGCTACAATTATATAATTACCTTTGCTAAACCCGAAAGACCACCTCGCTGCTCTTTGAACACATTCTGAATGTCAAGAAGCATCTCACAATGCTTGAAACAATTTAGTTCTCCATAAGAATGAGCAAGCTGATATGCATCACATTGAAGGTTGTAGCCTGTAGATAACAAAAATCATAGCTTACGTAACTTTCTTGCAAAACTAATTTATTTAACCATAACAAGACCGAATGTAAACCATACAGCATACGGAAAATTATTTTAAACTTTCACGTTGTTTGTCATTTGAGTCTGGAGGCAAACTAAAGAAAAATGCTACTTTCAAACATTGAACCCGGAGAATATCTCGAGGTCTAGTGCATAATAATAAAATAAAAGGACTTTAGACTTTGATAATCATCCTTTCTGCTTTATTATAGTTATATTAATCATGTCTTTTAAGGACATTGGACGAAAAACAATTTAGAATCCAATTATTACATTCCCATAGTCCAAATAATTGTATCCATGAAAGTTAAACTTACCAAGCTTCAGAATACTTGGAGAGTGCAACATGCGGGCAAAGCATTCATCTAGCACGGTTGGAACGTTTTCATGTAGCTTTATCAAGTCAAATATATAAACCTTTTTATCAGAGGAAATTTGCATGATAGAAACCTGTAGCATGAGAAATCAACTTTTCGGAATTAGAGAACAAGAAGAGACTTGTGTCATGCATCAGAATATATATGTCATCTTTTTTAGTCAGAATGAAATATTCATATTCTTCAATAATGACTCCCATTTTTTTTTCTAAAAGTAAAAAAGAAAATAATGCAAGTGTTTTTGGGTCACTTGTATTAGTAATGCCATTCTCTAAAGGTCAAGTACAATATGAAACTGAAAAAAAAAAAGGTTGTATAAGTACTTGCTCTTGATGAAACCAAAAGGAGAAAAAATATATTGATAGAAATGAACTCGCTATTGCAGTGGGAATGGATAAGATAAGAAAGTACCTTACTGGCTTTGCTGCCCTTTCCATAAGTGGGTTTCCATTCACAATCAAGGCCTATAATTTTGCAATCTTCGAAGTAAGACGTTGCTTCACGCAAACCAATGACTTCATCTACCCAGATAACATCTTCAATTAACAATTCATTAAGGTGCATATAGCCGCTGTGGACAACATTCCTGTCGAGCTCTATGCAATATGATTGAAAGAACTTTGGTTAGAAAAAAGCAACTAAAAAAGAAAAAAAAAATCTTGAATCAATGTTTCTGTTTTTTGCTAAATTTACTATTGAAAAGAAATGAAAAGAGATATGCCAAAACAACTAAGATGAACCCTACTATTTATGTTACAAAAAGGTGGGGACAACTACTCAGTCAAATCCAAAATTTAAACTTGCTGAGATAACAATGTTATTGGAACCCCAAATTTAGCCACTTGCACTTCTCAAAACCCATTCACAATAGTGGAACATAAGAAGCTAATTTTCAGAAAACAATGACTAGCAAAACCAAATTAATAAAAATAGAAACTAATGCAGTTGAAAAAGAAGAAACAAATCTCCCTAAACAACCCTTAGATGTCCACTGTTATAGAGGAACTCGATGACGACAAGGTTTAAATGATAGCAGTGGGACCAACCTAAATAAATTTGACCCACCCTCATAGGACAGCAAAATTATCTTACTCTGCTGCTGATTATTTGATAAAATCAGCAAGTTTTTTATTATTTGTTGCAGTTATTTACACAAAATTTACAGAAGAATTATTCTTCTCAACCTTATCAATGTTTCTTGACAATCTCATTTTTTATTTTCAATGTTTCTTATCAATGCAGCAATTATGGTTAATAAAAAACTAGCTAATCAACCACAACGGAAGTTTGACAAGAAAGTAAAGTTTGTTGTGCTTTTTGTAACAAGCAGAGGAACAAGAGAACATGCTGTAAGTCACATGGAAAGCCAGCAATATGCAGATTTATAGACAAGAGTAGATATCAAACCGAAACAACTCCTTTCAACTGGGAGTAACTTGATCATCTCTACAAGATGCTAAACTAAACTCATCCTCCAAGTGTCCTCTCTAGTTCTCTTTCCCAAAAAGGTAGCCCTTTAAGTGCCCTCGCTAGCTCATAGAATCCAGCAACTTGGATCATTGATTCAGGTGCATCTCATCACATAACCTGTTTGTCATATTTATTTAGCACATAATCTCCTTGTTCTGGTCATTTAAAAATTTTAATTGCTATCGTAGTTTGTCTTCGATTGCAGGAAGGGTTCGATAGTCATACCATAAGATTTAGTTTTAAGATCCATTCTTCATGTGCCTAATAATCTAGCTATCTTTTGTCCGTTAGAAAATTAACCAAGAACTCTTCACTATGTTGTCAAATTTCTTAATTCTCATTGTGATTCAGGACCAACTTTCTGGGAATATGATTGACTGTGTTGGGATGATTGACGGACTTCATTATTTTGATTACAACTTCTTCAAAAGTGGACAAGCTCAAGTTATGAGACTTGAGCTCAGGTCTTATGCATGGCTCCAATACTATATTAAACATCTCATCTGAAAGCTTAAACTTTTAGAGAGGTGCAATCATTCAGTTCTTCTCTTAAAGAGAGAACTTCATCAGACTAGCAAAATTATATCATGGTCCTTGAATTTTATTGAATTTTAGACTCCCCAGATGGAACTAAGCGTGTTTCATTTACAAACTAAATACAAGGAAACCATTTGATGGAGTGTATCAATTTAATTGGATTTCGATGCACCCAAAAAGATGGACTAATTGTATTCACATCCATAACTTCATCAGAAACATGGTAATGGATGGGGAAGAATGACCAATCTGAAATCAAACTCTGACTGCAAGCAAAATCCTCAAGCATCAAAAATCAGTATCATGTCAGGGAAACTGCCTGAAAGCCTAAGAAAATGCCCTAGTCAAATTTAAATATCTGTCCTTGCTAAAGACATTTTTTGTATTCTGTCTCCACGCCAATAACAGAATGCACACTCTTAGCAATGTTTAAGCTCTTGTAATTGAGATCCTTTTACATGGAGAAATATTTTTAACACAGGTTATTAAAAGGATCAAGCTTCAGCAAAAGGAATCCACGAAGCAACAAACATTTGATGGGTAACTTAAATGAACCCAAAATATTATAGAATTCTTGCTGTGCTGATACCTCTATTACTCACCAAATTAGTCAGGGGCAGTTAATCATGAGTAAAGCAAGAAAATATATCAATGGGGAACATAAAGTTTAACATCTTCTCAAGCGTACCTTTGATACTCTTGAAACCTTTGAGGTAATAGCGATCACAGAGTTCTTCTACCTTTTCTGAGTAGCCAGCTTCCATTGCCAAATACACCTTAAATTTCCAAATAATAATATTAATAATAATAAATAAGGAGGAAAAAAAAAGGTGCTCATACTTTATGTTTTCAGTGTATTTATATATTTAAAGAACATAAGAGTGACAAAATGTTCGAGAAAAAGTCCAATTATCAATTTCAGATGGGGTTTTTTAACAATTTAAATACTCCCTATTGCAACAAATATCATGGAAAAATTCTTTACTTGGAAGAATGCAGAGGAATTTCTTTGACATAATTTTTATTCTGGAAAAATATCATTTAGTTCTTTTGGAGTTTTTCTTTGAGCATGCAAATTTACTACAACTGCAGTTACGGGCAAATGTTAAATTATTAAACTAAAATCATCTTAACCACTAAATGAGAAACAATATTTCAAAGCCCCTAATCTTCCAATGAGCTGGTAATTACAGAAAAAAACCATGACGCAATAATCATGCTCAATATAAATGGGCTCTTGAATTTCTTTGATAAGTAAATCTGGTACGGAAAGAAAGGTTCATTGAAATTGAGAATATATGTAATTATCATATTTGATTTCATTTTGCTGCAATGCAATTCTAGGAAGCACCAACGTGGATATGTCATCACAATTTTTCAAAAAACTACTAACACGACACGTACAAATGCTAATAAAAAGTACTAATTTATTTATATTTTTATGCTTTCGGTTTTTATTTTTTTTAATGTAAAGTAAATTTAATTTTGTGAACCTCAGTGTGTCGGTAATGTATCTCCTCGTGTCGGTAATGTGTCCAACTCTCTAAAACCAAAAACTAATATGCTCAAGTCACTTGTAGTGTGTCAGTAATGTATCTCCTCGCGTCGGTAACGTGTCCAATTCTCTAAAACCAAAAACTAATATGCACAAGTCACTTGCAATTTTTTATGTGTTGATTTCTTATTTGGATCTCTCTGCAAAACAATATGTCGATAACATATCTACTGTACGAATAATTAGAACATACCATTTGACATTTCAAACACGTGTTAGCATCGTATCAGTGTCAAATACTAACTCGCAAGCACTATGAGGGTGTTAGAATTGTACAACATGTCAATAATGTGTATCTCCACGTGACATACCCCCTTTTTTACGTGTTAGTTTTATGCTGAGATTACTTAATGTGTATGTCAACAACATATTCAACTGGACAAAATCTAAAATGATTTGGACACACCATCTGACATCTCCAGCATATGTTGGCTACGTGTCAATTGTTAAGGAATATTATCCCACATCGAATAAAGACGATAACATAGACCAACTTATAAGATCTTGAACTACTCCTCTTAAACCTCAAATCTTAACATGGTATCAGAGCACATTAAGTCATAACGAGCAATTTGATCCGATTAAGACAAAAAATGATCACACGAATTTCAAAATTGGTTTACTAAAAAAAACCACCATCTTGCGGGGGCATGTTGAGGGCTATTATCCCACATTGAATAAAGACGATAACATATACTTACTTATAAGGTCTTGAGCTACTCCCCTTAACAATATTGGCCTTTTAAGATAGAATTTCAAATCTTAACATCAGTGTCCAACATGTCAGATAAAACTGTGAGGGTATTTGCAATGTACAACATATATCTCTAGTGTGTGTCAAAAATGTATCTCCAATATGTCAACTACGAATCTGACAGGTTGACAATATTCTCCGGCGTGTCAAAAATGTATCTCCAACATGTCAATAACGTGTCAAACTCCACAAAATAAAAAAATAATTGAGACACACCACCTGGAGGTGTTGAGATCTCTTAACATGTTGATAATGTGTAGATGACGTGTCCAACTGTGCAAAATCAAATATAATTTGAACACACCATCTGGCATTTCCAACATGTGTTGCCATAGTGTCAGATACTGGCTTGTCAGTGGTGTAAAGGCATCAGTGTATGGTCAGTATATGGAGATAGGAAATTTGGATTTCTCATCACCAATTTGCCTCAATAACACATGATTTACAACTTCAGCCTAGACAATGTACTTTTACCCCCAAATTATTTTTCATTCATGCCATGAAAAGAAAAATTAGAGCTTTTACCCATATCTCAACTACCTACCAAATACTCAAGAAGTTGTTTATCGGCATTTGCTTTTGCTTCTGCTACATCCCATACACCTTTTTCTGCTAGTTTCTTCAGTGAGCTACAATTTCATATAAAATCAAGTGATAAAAATGAAATATAAAACAACAGTGGACCAATGAGTTATAGCGAATGAACTTGCCTTTCTTTATACTGGCGACACAATTCAGGGAATTCCTGATGCATGTTATTTTTCTTTATAATACCGTAAGCAGGTTTTACAAGCTTCCTGCCAACATATTCTCGGACAAGAACGCACAACATAGATTTTCCCATGAATGTGGCCCACATTTCTGCTGCTTTGTATTCTTTGCATTCCATCATTTGAAGCAAAAATGACTCCCTGGACTTACGTATAGAGAAGTGTTCCAACAGAGAAACAGCATTTATATATGATTGAGATTCTATCAACTCAAAAATATACTGCTCCACTAATTCTTTTGCTCTGTCAATTTTAACACTCCTCTTCACGTTAGAATCATGAATAACTACCTGTATATTTTCCAAACTAACATCAAAAACCTGGATAATCTTTATTAAAATCCTTTCGTCAAGTACCATACTTCCACCAGTAATGTCCAGAAATAATTTGGCAGCAAAGAGCTTCGATTTGAGTATATCTTCAGCAGTGGATCCCATTTTCAAAAATCGACGAAGAGCAGATATCATCAAATGACTGAAGCCCCTTCTGTGTATTTCAAACAGGGGCAGAATACAGAGACAGTGAGCGATGAAAGTAGCAGGGCCAGGTTGTGGATCATTGTATAGAACTTGATGCACTTGGTCTTGTAATGCACGGAACTTCGCAATTGCCTTGCCTTTTCCTGCAAATGTAAAAATCAGATAAATGTCATTGCTAAACAAGGCAATTAAAAGAAGCGTATTATGTTAACTTTGTTGTCAAGGCTTCAATAGCATATGAGACTTAGTCATTTTGAAGTTCCAGTTATTTTTATTCTAGTTTTTAGAACATACACAGCCACGGAGTCTTCCTAGCATTTAAATTAATAATGCAAAGATACAAGAGTGTACAGATATTGTCAGTTTACTTAGTGATACTGTATTGCCACATTGAGAGACAAAACTAATAATGGTCACAATTTTTGTAAGAATAAAGATATACTTACACATGGTATTCTAGGAAATTCTAGAAACTAAACTTTAAAAGCAAGTGAGCAACCTGAAACTCACATCACCTCATCTCTAAGACCAAACTGTAGATACTAGAATTCAAACAATTAGTGCATGAACAATTTCTAGGGTTAAAGCTATTACTATTGAAGATCAGCTGTACGAATTAGAATAGAACATAATGCTTCTGAAGTTGGTTCTAAAAACGGAGATTATCATTGCTCCAAAAGAGAAAATCATTTATTCCGAATTGCTATTATAAAGAAATATATCTGACGAGATATAGTTTCAAAATTGTGTTTTTTATTTCCATTATAGTAATTAGTAAATTGAAGCGCATAAGAACAGTGAGCCAAATGAAACTCACATGCTGGGGACTGGTAAGGAGTGATATTGTTTTGCAACACTCATTTCAAGCTCTCTCAACTTTGTAGGGTGCTTAGTGCCATTAATGGTAGCGAAAGCGGGTAAGGGAAGTTGAAGGTGAGAGGAGGGACGAGGGGAGGGGTCTTCTGATTTCTTTCATTTTTCAATTTCTTTGCTTTATGTTTATTTCTTTATTCGAATGTCAGACTGAAATTATCTTTTCACATTAACACCTGTTTTGGAGGAAACTGTAAGAAGGGACTTTTTACTATAAATTGGTGATTGAGGACATATCGGCCAATATTTGGAACAGAGATTCAAGTGCCAATAGACCCAAAGAATGAGGGCCGTAGTAGTAATTTTCTTTCGTTGGTAACTGCTCAATTGGGAAGCATAATTACTCTCCATGACTAGCGATGCATATCCCTTGAAGTTGAGTTAATTGTTCCAATAGTTACTGAACTTAGGTTCACGTCTCAGATTGATCACTAAAGTTTAAAATATCGAATTTTGATCATTGAACTTAGTTGTCTGTCTTTGATTGCTCATTGAAATTTAAAATGTCAAATTTTGGTCACTGAACTTTAAAAAGTATTTTGCATTGCTCACTAAACTTTAAAAAAATGCTCTACATTACCCACTGTAAAGCTAGATATTTTTCAAGGTTCAACAGTTATGTTAGTGAGTAACGTACGATATATTCCAAAGTTCAGTGGCCAAAACTCGACATTTTAAATTTCAGTGAGCAATTTAAGACATGTACTTAATTTCAGTAAGCAATCGAAGATATTGACCTAAATTTAATGACCAAAACTCGACATTTTAAGCTTCAGTGATCAATCAAAGACATAAACCTAAATTCAGTGACCATTGAAACAATTAACTCCCTGAAGTTTCTTGAACATAATCTAAAATGCTTTATAGAGTAAAAAAAGAAAAACTGAATATCACAGTTTTAATACAAAAAAATATTTGCCACAAAATAAGGAATAGTAAAGGTAATGATTTTAAAGGAGTCTTTGCACGTCTGAGATCAAATTCAAAATCGCTAATAACATAAATAACAAGTCAACAGTTCAAAAAGATAAAGATAAATGATTCAAGCAGGCTAAAATATAAGCTTGGATTTTGCCATATACATATCCTAAGTACTATAATTTCAATCATGGCCTCATGGGATCCGCCACCCCCAAAACCCCAAAATAAGAATGCATCTAGTGAGCAATCTTGTAGATTTTATAACAATTTAGAATGAAAGAGTGAGAAAATTACCATATGCATAGTATTTCTTTAAGAGGTACACAAATACCAAAGGAGGCATGTGGGAGAGATCACAAAAATCATGCCTCCTTACTGACCAAGTGAGTCTTTCATCCATTCCCTAGTTTAACAAGACGAAAAGCCTACACAAGAAATAAAATAGACATGTTGAGAAAAACTTGACGATATATACACTAACATTTGCAACAACTAAATAAATTAGAAGAAAATAACATATCCACCATCAATCATTAAAATACTAGTCAGTAGTTTTCTAATAGCGTGATCTTTCAATGCATATAATTACTATCTAAAGACAAATTCTATATAAAGTGGTAATTTTGTACTGAGCTTTCATGACCAAAATTGCAAGGCTAAGAGAAGGAACGATAAATCGAGCTACTATTATGTATCCCTAGTATTTCTTGAACTCTTTCAGAAAGTACAGGCATTGAGCCCTCAAGTCTCTTTAACTTTCTATTACAAAACGATTACATAAAAACAATAAAAGAATTCTCAAAATGCAACACAGACTTCAGAATATCAACAAGATATTAGAAATAAGTGATTTCTGATCGTAATTTTCAAAAGTAACTCAAGGCATAACAATTTCTGTAGTCTTCTAATTGTGTAAATTTTAAACAAATGCAGAACAGAGCACAGTTGTACAGTCAGGTGTCATAATACATCAAAAACCTACTTTATCGAAATGAGAATCTTCAATCAAATTGAATGGAAATATTTAGGGCAAAATTCAAAACTATCATAAATTAGACCTCCATATACTAATAGAACTATATACCTTACATAATGTACATTAACCAGAAAGTGCTCATATAACAACCATGCAATGAAATAGTAAGTGCAGCATCTTTAACTCATGAGATTTGAGTCAAAGTTTACATCAAAGATATAACTCGGAGTCTGCAAGAATGGAGACATACAAATGAATGTTATTAGAACAAGCAAAAATGAAAATTCAAAAACCAAGTGTGTAAGATACAATCACATAACTACCCTAAAAATATAGAGCTATTGTTCAAAATACAAGTAAAATAGTAGGCACTTGAGGAAATAGTTACCTCTTACTTTGGACTTTAGTGTTCATAGATCCCAACTCCTCCACAATACCCTGAAATATGCACATAAAAGTTCATTAATTATAGCGCGGGTCGTGTGAAAGAAAGAACTTTTATTTCAATAATAATTGGAGAAGAAATTTGTGGAACCAACACCATATAACCAGATGATGGACTAAAATGGTACATAATACGGAGTATCCATGAGCAAAAAACAGAGAAGTGAAGAACTGAACTAAGATTTGAATACCTGTTATTTTCCAATTATCTAGAGCGTCAATGAATATTGCTTAACAGTGGTCAATCATCAAAGTTTATCTGAGGTTGAATTGCCTGCATTACAGTTTTAAACAAAAATCTTGAGCCCTTAGCACCTAAAAGATCACAGCAAAAAGTTCAGACAATACTACATCATCAGAATCATGCTTAAGTTTAGAAATATCAGATAGTGATACCAAAGCAGAAAAGAATGAAAATGGTACTTACACGAATGAAGAGTTTTGATATTCAATTCTCTGTTGTGTATACCCTATATATTCTAAGGTGAATTCGGGATTGGAAGTTTAGTATCTTGGAACTCAGCAAGAATGAAAAACAGATTTGAAATTAAGCATTCTGTTTTCGATTTTCAACATAATTGGCCTGTTTGTAAAGCACCATGTGTACAACTAACAAACAGATACCTTTTAAGTTCAAACTGATGCCCATAATGCTTAACTTAAAGGCACAACTTCACTTGAAATTCAAATAAATTTCAAATAACGGCGAGAGGAAACAAGGGCAGCTTTCTATGGTCAGATAAACCAACACAATTGATAACCAGTAACCATTAGCTAATGAACCAAAAATGAAAAACATAACAATAACCATGGACAATTCTACTGATATATACATATCTACTGAGGGTTTGAGAAAAGGTTTATGATGTGACTAAAGGCATCCATTTTAAAGATCCTAAACACGTATGTTTCTAAGATCCTTGATTTTGATGCAGGTTGAATAATTATGGAAATGTGATTCTTAATGGTCAAGTTTTGAACAATAGGTCAATAACTGTCTAATTTATATGCAGATACACAGATAATTTTCTCATACAATGATAGTTAAATAAAAGCTAAAGAGAAAAAGACACTAGATGAAGATATTAATGTGCACCTAAATTATAATGCTTGAATGTCAATTAAAATTTATCAAGTTCGTTGTGTGAAAACTAGTCTTTAGATTTACTTCTGGCACATAGAACTTAATTTGCCAATTTGAGGTGAAACATGTGCTAGGTTAGGAACTCTAGGAGTGTTTCCTATAACATTCTCCAAAGCAATACAGAATAAGAGTATCTTTGCCCCTACTTCCATGCCTATCAACGGATGTCCAGCATTTAATCCTTCAGAAGTTTTAAAAATGTGGGGAGGAACCTGCAGCCTGAAGAGCTCAGTTAAAATGTTCATAGTCTCTTCTTCAAATTTTGAAAATTCAAACCCCCTATATCCCAAAAAGGGACAGGTTATGACATATATTATTCATTTCAACCTTATCATCATTAATATTTGACTAAAAATAAAAAATTTACGAAACAAGACAAATCTGAAAGATGGAGAAAATGATTTCTGTTTGAAACAACAACGAATTAGAGCCAAAGTTATAGACGTCAGGGAAGGATGTGCAAGACATCCAAAAGACCTATATTTTGACCACATTCGAGTATAAATGTATAACACACATTAGAGAGTTAAGTTGGCAATCTCATGTTTCAAACATAATCTGGAAACATATTTGGTTCTTCCATTTATGGGCTATGGAAGGGTGAAGGAAACTTTAGAATCTTAGCTCGAAGAGAAAAAGACACAGATACTTATGAGAGGAATTAAACATTTGAATTCGTAAACACTTCCTTTTTCACCTCATAATCGTAGAATTCAATTGAAATTTGTAATCAGAATTATATCAATTTCGATCCAAGTTCTTCAAAACTCCATAACTCAGATTGGGAAAAGAAACCGCAAAGCAGTTCAAAATCCATTAGTCGGCCAACTACACACATTAATGTAAACTAAACGAATGCATCTATTCAACTAACTGAAAACACCAAATTGATCACAAATTAGTGCATAACTATCATAGAAATAGAAAGATAAGAAAATGAACTCAACAACAATACAATCAACCGTCGAACAGGCATAAATTACATTCGGCGATAAAAGTATAAGCAAATTTGCATTAAACTCACCATAGAAAGAAGTTTCACGTCCCATTCTAACTAAAAGTTTCTCTATATTTGATATTTCTGCAAATCCACATGCATAAGCAAGGTTCTGAATAAAGAACAACGAAAAAGAGAGTATTTTTGGTTTCGATTAAATGCTTATCGTTTCTCTAAACTAGAAGCGAAAAATATCTCTGTAGATACCTAATAAATGGGTTTTTATGATAGTTAAGGAAAAAGAATGGCGGTTGGTTGATAGAGGCATGTGGAAGATGGGATCAGCGTTCGTTACGTAGGCAATTGATGCATGTGGCTTACGATTGTGTTCTATAGACACGTAACGTACACCTCCAACTCCAAATTACTTCGAGTGGGACGGGTCTAGGCAGGGACGTAATTGACATTTCACTTTATGTTACAAAACACGTGAAAATTAATTAATAATGAAAAAAAGTTGTGATGAAACTTGACGTATTTAGCAATTCAGCTTCACATTCATTAATGACAAAAAGTTGTTTGATCTCAAATTCATTTCATTCATTAGGGGTGATGATATCATTGTGATTTGTTTTGCTTATTAGAGTACTACTCACTACAATTACGATTGGAGTCAATTCAATGTTTGGTAGAGAGGTCGATAGAACTATCAACTCTGATTCAAGGTTAAATTGTGGCAGTGTATTTCTCGATAATCAATCTTTGTTCGATCCACTGTTGACATATAACAAATGCTTACTTGTTAGGATGGTGATCGAGCTTTAATTGATCTTTACAAGGCTTCTTGTAACTAATTGAAATATATTCAAACAACAAATTTAATCCCTTCATGGTTTAGAAAAAATCAAATTTTTAGTAAATTTTCAAAAGACACTATTCAATTCAATTATAAAAGTGGATTAAAATTTACGTTAAAGTTAACTATTAATTTTAACCACACATTTTATAAAACTCACAACTTTTGAATCACGATACATCAACTTTTATCAAAATTAACTAAAAATTGAATTTATCCAAACAGAGGCTAAAAGCGGATGAAACTTATAATTGAGAAGTTAACATAGGTATGAGAATCATAAAACATGTGATCAAAATGAGTTTTGAAAAGTTGAGACCAAACATAGACAAAAAAAAATTGTCAATTTAGTTCCATTTATGGTCTCCAAAGAGGCACAAAGATATAACCAAATGAAAATAGCAAGTATAACAACTAAAAATAAACAGGTAAATAAATGCACTAAAATTTAGTTCCTCAAAAAACAGATTATCGTGCCCTTAAAAGGGAGTTACTATATTTTTTTCTTTTGTCAAATTTTTATTTTCTTTTCTACAAAGCTGGCTAGGCGGCTTTCCACGAGCAGCAGCTGATGCATCAATTTCACTGGTCATCGAGCCTTGTCTTCTCCTTTATGAACTTCCCTGTCCATCTCTGAATAAGCCCCGTTTGGCCCCATTCTATCCAAATTTCAATGATTGAAATAATGTTTTTTGAAAAATGTGTGGTTGAAAAAGAATAAAAAGTTTTCAATTTACGTGTAATATTATTCTATGAAAGATTGTATGATTAAAAATAAAATAGAAAAAAAAAATGGGAGCCAAACGGGGCTAACTAAGAAATGTTTTCTTGGTCTTGTGCTGGATACGGAGAAAGCCCAACTCAACTTAAGCAAGGGGCTCGTTGCAAACTGGGCATAAAGCATGAAATTCTGTCTAACTATGTTTGATCGGGCCTTAAAGCCAATCCTTTTACCTCATCTTCATACTCAACACGTGCCTTCACATGAAGCTATCATTTTTAAGTAATATAGTTCTATCTTCTTGGTTAGAACCCTGCCGAGCAAGAACTCGTCAATACCATATTTCAGACTTCTTGAATCAGATAGTCAGCATGATGTATACAAGCATATTTTGCAATGAAACTCAACTCGTTATAATATTTTTTCTCAGTTGGCAAGTTAATATAGTGATTCCAATCGATAACAATTTAAGCAGAACAGAAGTTTCTGATAAGAAGTGTCAACAAACTAATGACTTTGTTTGGGTCTCCTTACAAGTTCCTTATAACTTAAAAGTCAAAGTCAAAGTCAAACTTTAATCTTAACCACATATTTCGAATGACTCACAACTATTGCCCACTTATCCAATGCTCTGTTCTATCCCATTATATCTTTAGCAACTTACAAGGAAAACCCAAACAAAGGCTAAACATAATTCCATCATCAGAAGCAACCACAATCATTGGAAAGAGTGTATTAAAGATTAAGGTAATTGCCATAGAGTAATTTTTGCATTCTGACCATTAAGAGATACTTCAAGCGACTACAATTGCCAATCTTTTCTTGAAAACCTGCGTAAAAATATATGAGTTGATGATAATAAGATATTTTCAATTGGAACCATTGTGAAGATGCCCTACCATTCTGAATTGCTCCAACTCTTTCTCCAGCAAGGCATTGATGTCTCCTGCTAATGGCTGCATATTATTAGGGGATAGAGACTCGTATCTTGCTTCACTGAGTACCTAAAAATCACATAAATTCAACACCAACCGCAAATCTTTACACCTTAACTTATTTTCCTTCAGAACAATTAATAGATTTGCAGGAAGTGGAGAAAATTTTAATAAGCAAATTGCCACTCCCAATATGGTAGGAAACTTGGTCTTCCCAGAAAGGTCTACTGATTGTACCTCAGTGACCAAGACAGGAAAGCCCATCAGCCTTGAATATGATATAAATATACATGCACACAACTTCCCCAGCCCAAAACCCAATGTACAAGTAAAACCAAAAAAGATAAGATGGAAAGGATATATAAATAATAAATGGGTTAGTTACTCATCAACTGATTACTTTGGGCCTGGAAAGACGCTCATTGAATGTACACATATAGAAGTACAAAATATTTGACCTTTTTTTCTCTGTTGTAATGGGCAAGTGGCATTTAGAAAGATATAGCATTCTTGAAACTGGCACGTTGCTCAACTGAAGGAGTCATGCAATAGAATGACCATTTCTTTAATGTGTGCAAGTTGAACTCAGAATGTTCCCTTCTGTAGCCAAGGATTAAATATCCAACATAGGTATGTCAATGCATTTAGAAGAGCTCAAAAAATGCATGCTGTCCCCCTCAAAACCCCGAACATGGAACAAAATAACAAAGAAATTAAGTGGAAGACAAAAAAGTAGATAGAAACAAAACCCTGTCTAACATATTGACATGACTATTTTGCACAGCAAAATCATAAGCAGTCCTATATATTAAACTGCAAAGTTTAAAACAAAATCACAAAGTTGAACAATAAGCTAACACAAAATGAACAGAGCAAGAGCAACTAGGCACCAGCCCCCAAGTGTAACCTGCCTGCTTCTGCTATATGGCTAAATTGGACAGTACAAAATGACACTCATCAAACAATCCGAATGTAGGCTTAATGATAACACCAGGCAGAAAAGCAATATACTTGAGAACCTTTCAACAGAGCACCAGCTCTGCCAAGCAAACAAGAACCATCTTTAGGGTTCAAGAAACCCCCAACTCCATAGTCTTTATGAAAGTCATACTCACCACTTGTAAGCACCGTACTTCAGAAGTTTTTCTCTAGTTGTCCTTTTATCATGTCAGAGTTTCTTCCACATTCATACATTATTCCAGTTTCAAAAATAAGTAAAAACATTCATATTGAGCTACGGCGCATGATGCACCGAAAAAACCTAGCTGACTTCTTTTCTGGGTCCCCAGGAACAAGCCTTGGTGCAAATTCATGAACTGCTCAATTTATTGGCTTTTAGAAATGCAGTTTTTTTTTCCTCTCTCTCTCTCTCTATGGGAAGCGAGCTAAAGCTGTGATTAACCTGCTCGAACAACACCAACACTGATACTCTGAAGACAAATTACAAAGATTTGAGCCCCCGTTCATCACTTGATACATAGCAATCACTGCAACCTGCTTCAACTATCATATCTATTCAGATATTTTATCCACTCCCAGCACCCTCATCAAAAAAGAAAAAAAGAACAATGAGATAAAATTGTCTAATTTTTAAATAATTAAAATTATAATTTTTCTATATTCAGCTGTAATTTTTCTTTCTTTCTCTTTGCACGCACCCTAAGCTGGTCTCATAGCATGAATTTTCAAATAACATAGCTCTCACAATCCCTGTCCTCACCACCCTCTGGAAATCTTCAACTTGCCAGTCAGATACACTGGAATTGGAACACTATTCTTATGCAAGTGTAAAAAGTCATCAAACTAGCTAAAACAAGAAGTCCGCTTCTCAAGAAGTATGAACAATATGAGTCATCTTACTAAAGTTTAAAAGTCGCCTTTTTGAAGATTCAAGAAATTACAGAACTTAAGAAAACTTTATAAACCCCCTTGTCAAAATACCAACCAATTGTCTCGAACAAACACTCTACATATGGGAACTAAAGTCAAATAAATAACTAAACTCAGTTTCACAATCTCCAATGATATCTCACTATATGTAGCAGAAGAATCAGCCAATCTTTGCAGAAATGCCTAATTTTAATCAGGTAGCATAGCAAAGTGTTAGTATATATTTTTAAGAGTGGAATTGCTTTTAAACTTTAAACCTTTTTCTTTTATCTATTTGGACAATCTTGTAAATCACATGTTCTTTAGTTTAGGTTTTAAACCATCATTCGTACAGAATATATACAATTTCATGTATGGAAAACAGGTGCTGCTTCCCTGCAATTCACAATGTTCATATGTTTCTTCTGAATATTTATACAAAGACCAGATCATTCCATCAAGCTGTAGATCCCACCAAATAAACTCACAGTAATATTCTGTAGTTACGTCTTTGACAAGTTCTACAAGCAGATAGAAAGCAAAAACAATGGAATCCTGACCAGTAATAAATTAGAGATTTTTCACCAAAAACTAGAAATCTTATGCGAAATATAAAAACTTTACACCTTAATTTCATAAAAAATCTGTTTCCAAATATGGAAGTTTCTAAGCAATAAATGGCCGAAATAACATGCATAATTGCAAGAGGCATTTTTCATATCCTATCTCTTCAATCACAAAAAATAGGAGACGCCTTGCCAACTGCAGAGATTATGGGTATCAACGTTCAATTTGCTTTAGGAGAATTCAAAAGAGAGAATAGAAGAAAGAAAAACAAAAGTTTTTCCATAAAGAGATTATTTTACCAATTCAAAACCTTCAGGAGAATGTGCAAATTCCATGTTCTGAAAATCCACAGGAAGGCATTGCTGCACTGCTGTAGATACACGTATAATTATACACAGGATTCTAAATTTCTGCTTTACCTAACACTCGAGAGAAAAGATCAACTTATCAATAACAAGAGAATATCCAATATCAAAAAAATAAATCGGTAACAAGTCGGCATGCACTCATATAAACACACGGAATACAGACCTCTACAATAGATCCTTCAAGAGAATTAGATTTTGGAAACTTTTTTCTATGGTGTCTCACCAGCAATGCTATTAACTGAAATGTTTTACAATGTCATTAGCATCCAGAAAACTTGCAAAATCCAACATGGAGAACAGAACAAAACTTAAGTAGGCCAAATACCTCAACCTCTTTATGATTATAACCATGGAGGTGATCTCCATTCTGCACAGTAAAAGCACGACAGCCAAAATTAGTTTAACTGAAAAGTACGTATTATATTTCACGTGATGCATGGGTAATGATCATCCTCAACTGATTCTGAAACATAGCCAAGGAATACTATGTACAATTTGGAACTTTGGGGAAATCAATTCATGTTAATCTTTCATTCTCTTGCTTTCTTTACCGTATAATGAAACATCATCTACCTCCAGCTAAATTGCATGATATCTTAACAACTAAAATCCAATTCCATATGCCACATGATCAATCAAAAGCATTAATAAAGGACTTCATACCATAATAACACGATAAGATTGCTTATGGTAACCCTTCTTGCCGGTACATAACCCAATATTGTGAAGCAAACAAGCAGCTTCTAGATACTCGAGATCACCTTCATCCAACCGTACTAAAACCTTATTGCTGTCGTTCTCACCATTGTTGTGAAGCTCATTCCACTTTCTTAAGCCTTCAAACATCTCCTGCAGAAACCAACTTAATAAACAATGGCATCGGTTCCAACCACAAATCCGTAAAAATGTTCAGAATATCCATACCCTTGCAATGCCCGCACATATAGCAGCAGCCCTCATTCTTTTCTTATTATTAAATCTTGATGCCAGTCTGACCACCGACCTCCACCGAGCATTCGCATTCAGATCAAATCCCTCGAAAACCCGTCCTAACATCTCTGTAATTACACCCTCCCCTAATGCATATCCAGATACCTCCATCTCCTCAATCTCAAGCCTTTCAAATATGTCATCCAATAAAACTGTTCCGGCCAAAATGAACCCAGCTCGGCTCTTAAAAAAACCTTCCCTCCTTCCCCTCCCTCCCATTTCCTTCTCTTCCTCACACAACCTCTCAACTAAACCCTTCAACTCCTCCCTACTGAATTTCCATTCTCTTTTATAAAATTCCTCAAATACTCCAACATGTTCATCTACATTGCTGGCATACCCTTTACAAACAGCCTTCTCAATTGCCTTAATTGTACCCGAGGAACCTATCACTACATCTATCTTAAACTCCTTAATTTCCTTGATTAAACCAGAATTTTCGATCTCTTTCTGAATGTGTTCTCGCATTCTCGTAATTTGGGTGAAATTTTGGGTTAAAGTTACATGACCTAATTTCAATGATTTAGAGAACAACACTTTTCCCTTAAAGCCCACTGTGAATTCAGTAGAGCCCCCACCAATATCAATTGTAAGAACCGTAGAGTGGAAAACCGAATAGAACTGGAGAACGCCAAGGTAAATGAGGCTGGCCTCTTCGATGCCAGAGAGGATTTCTATCGGGTGCCCGAGTTTCTCGCGGGCTGAATCGAGGAACTGGGTCTGGTTTGAGGCTTCGCGTACGGCAGAGGTGGCGACGAAGCGGTAATTGGAGGAGGGGAGGCGGTGGGAGTGAAGAATTTGTTGAAATTTCAGGAGGGCGGAGATTGCACGGTGGATTGAGGCGGCTGAGATGGTGGGCTTAGCGGTGGCAGTAGTGGTGTCAAGCCCGAGGAGTACGGGTTCTTTGATATGGTTGAGAGTGAGAAAGCGACCAGAGGAGGGATCAGTGCTAACGATCAGGAGTTTGAAGGAGTTTGTGCCCATATCCACAGCGGCGAAGAGGTTGCTCTTCGTGGTGGTGGCCGGCGTAGGTGGAGGGAAACTGGACGACATTTTCTTTACCTGGAAATTACTTTGCACATATTTGGCTCTCTTCTCCAAAAAGTTTTATAAAATAAATAATTGAATAATGGAAGCCAGCCCGACCTGATTTGAGCTGGTTCAAGAATGATCAGTGGAGAATAGTGTCAAGTTCGATCGTCTGTCTCAATGATCCAAGAAGATGAGGAGTGTAAGCAAAATCCACCAATTCGTACTGAAACCTTCGGGGAACTATTGACAAAATGAGACAAGTGTGTCAAAAATCAATCAATTATCTTTACTTAAGAATTATGTCAAACTATTTCCATACTTATCGCAAAATTGGAAATATTAATACATTTTTCTCTTTTTTTTAAATAATGTATTTTTTAATAAAATAATATTATACGTAAATAATAATAAAGATTCATTCTTTTTGAACTACACATTTCCCAAAAACTACTATTTAAACATGCATTTTATCCAAATTTATCATTATAATGGTTGTCAAACAGGGGATAATATTTTGCCTTATATTTCAATCATTTATAATTAAATCTAAGCATCCATTTGAAAATCATTATTTGAGAAAAATGAAGGTTTGATTAGTGATTTTTAAAAGAATGTATAATGAGCCATGCTACATACTTTGATTTACACTTTGGCTTACACTCCTGCATGTTGGCAAATTTGAATATATTGATCTTAAAAACACTTTTTCCAATCAATGGTTAGATTTTTAATACATAGGAAATGTCAACCAAGCTGTACACATTTGGGTGTAAAAGTAGTCTTATTTATGTATAATTAAAAGAGTAAAAAAATTGAAATTTACATGCATAATATTTTATGTGTGAATGTATGATTAAAATGAGAATATAGAAAAAAAGAGTTTGAAAATAATAAATGCCTTTAGATAATTATACATCATCTACTTTGCTTTGTTGTTCGATCGAAAGTTTTAAAAAATTTATTGATATTTGTTTAAAAAATTGAGAAATTGGTAGAACTATTATAGAAAGTCACATATTATCCGCACTAGATAGAAATAAAGTTAATTCCTCTTTACAGATCAAGAAGCTAATTAGTGAGTTTTCTATTACTCAGTGTCGGAGTTTCTTGATAAAAGATCCTGAACAAAGATAAAAAATAGTAAGAATCTCAAAGTTGCATTTAGACTTTGTAATAACTAAAATAAGACTTTTTCTTACTAGAATTTAGTTAGCATTTAGAGTTTTTGTACTATAATTTAATTGAGCATAAGACTTTTTTTAATTTTACTAACTAAAATTTAATTAGCAAGACTTTATTTCTTGATATGAAATCGGTTCTTAAATTTTCTAAAAGATAAATTATCTAAAAATTCTAAAGTATCTAAATTTTCGTCAAATTCTGGATCTGAGAGGCATATATATATAAGACTTTTAGGCTAAACAGATAGATAATTATAAATATATAAATACTGTAAATACTACACCATAGAAAATAGCGGCTGCATCAATTTAATTAACCAAACCAAACATTCTGATGTTTTAATGTCAGTTGCCAATTTCCCAAATTAGCTGCTTGTCATGTTTATTTAGCACATAATCTCCTTGTTCTGGTCATTAAAAAATTTAAGTTGCTGATGATAGTTTGTCTTCGATTGCAAGAAGAGGTTTGATGGTAATATCAGAAGATTTTGTTGTAAGATCCATTCTTCATCTATCTAATCTTCTTCTTGCAATCTTTTTGTAAGTTTGAAAATTTATCGATGACTCTTAACTGTTTTGTCAAATTTCTTAATTCTCACTATGGTTTCATGATCAATATTTGAAAAAAAAAAAAATAAATTTGATTATACTAAGTGTTGGAAATTTATTGTTCAAAAAAAAAAAAAAAAAAAAAAGGGCTTAACCATGCGGTTGCATGAGGCCCTCCCGAGAATGGGAGAGCTGACAAAGCTATAACCATGCGATCACATGGTTATTGACAACTAACCGCTGGGTTAGTTTTTTGATCTTTTTTATTTGAAATTGGTGGTTTTTCATCATTGTTTTGCATCATTTCGTAAAAAATTTGTCAAGGCCTATAAATACGTGATTCAAGTGTAAGAAAGAAATATTGAGTTCCATTGAAATTGATCCCCAAATTATACTTCCAATATTGAGAAAATTTATCACATAATCCTTCCATTTTTCACTTGTTCATTGTGAAGAAACACCTTTGCTTTTTGGCGTTCTTCTTATCAAGGCTTGTTTAATTCTACAAACTATTTGCCGAAAATCCTTAGAAAGCATTGGAAAGGAGGCAAATAACGTTTGAGAACAGCGAGATTAATTTCGTGTTCAAACCTTCGTTGTTTATTCTATATTCTTCACTTTGTTGTTCTTTCAATTTTTCTTCCCTTCTGCATTAATTTTCAACAATCTCAAACATTATTTGATTACTATTATTGCAATGGAGACGAAATCTACATTTGATACTATCAAAATGATGAATCAAGACCCGGTACGCTTGAACAGATTCGATGGCGCAAATTTCACAAGATGACAAGACAAACTTAAATTTCTGTTAACGTCCTTGGAAATCTTCTACGTGCTTGATCTAAAACTGGAGCCCATTCTCGATGCAACTGACAAGGATATCGAATAAATTCGCGTAGAAAGGAAGAAGCGGGAAGAGGACGAATTGATATGTCGTGGCCATATCCTAAATGCATTATCTGATCGCCTCTATGATCTCTACACCAACAATACATTGGCAAAAGAAATCTGGTATGCACTAGAAAGCAAATACAAAGTCGAGGAAGAAGGTACCAAAAAGTTCTTAATATCTAAGTATTTTGATTTCAAATTTTTGGATAATATACCATTATTGCCTCAAGTACGTGAGTTACAAATAATTGTAAACAAACTGAAAGCGGTGAAAATCGAACTTCCCGAAACTTTTCAAGTGGGAGCAATTATTGTTAAACTTCCTGGTTCTTGGAAAGGATATAGGAAGAAGATTCTTCACAATTTCGAAAATTTTTCTTTGAAAGATATACAAAAATATCTTTGTATTGAGGAAGAATCAAGAGAAAGAGATAAGATTGAAAATTCTTATGATAGCCCTTCAAAGGCTAATGCCGTGAACAATGTGGATAACTACAACAAATTTAAAAAGAAAAGAAAATTTCTTGGTCCTAAAAAGGATCAAGGAAAGTTCAAAAATAAAGTCAAAGGACCTTGCTATGTTTATGAAAAATCGAGACACTGTGCCAAGGATTGTAGACATAGGAAACAACAAAAGAATGAAGGATAAGTGAACTCCATTGATGAGATTATCGCCACGGTGAGCGAAATCAATGCAATCCAAGGCAAAGTTTTGGGCTGGTGGTACGATACATGTGCTACAATCCATATATGTTATGATAAGTCTCTTTTCAAAACTTATCATGACATTGAAGACAATCAAGAAATACAAATGGGAAAAAATGAAGGAAGATCAAAGGAGATTGGCAAAGGAAATGTGGAACTCATTTTCTCTTCGGGAAAGAAGATCACTTTGACAAATGTCTTGCATGTATCGAAAATGAATAGAAACTTAGCAAGTGGTGTACTATTGGAAAAATCTGGAATTAAATCTGTTTTTAAATCTGGAAAACTTATATTAACCCATAATGGGCACTTTGTTGGAAATGGCTATTCCACCGAAGGAATGGTCAAAATATGTACTGTTGAGGATAACTCAAATAAAGTTAAATCTTTTGCATATGTTACTGATTCATTTAATTTATGGCATTGTAAATTAGCACATATATGAGTTAATACTATGAAAAGAATGATTAAATGTGGATTAATACAATGTGATATGGACAACTTTGAAAAATGTGAAATATGTGTTAAATCAAAAATGATTAAGAAGTCATTTCATAGCGTAGTAAGAACAACAAGATTACTTGAACTTGTTCATTCCGACATATGTGAATTGAATGGAATGTTAACTAGAGGCGATAATAGATATTTTATTACTTTTATTGATGATTGTTCTAAATATACCTACGTGTACTTATTAAAACATGAGGATGAAACCTTTAGTGCTTCTAAGACTTATAAGATTGAAGTTGAAAATCAATTAGGAAGAAAATTAAAGATTTTAATAAGTGATAGAGGTGGAGAATATTTTTCTAATGAATTTAACATGTTTTGTGAACAAAATGGAATAATACATCAAGCTTCTATTCCTATAACACTGGAACAAAATGGATTAACAGAAATAAAGAATAGAACTCTTTTGGAAATGATAAATGTAATGTTGTTAAATTCTGAATTACCCTTTAACCTATGGGGTGAAGCCTTACTTAGTGCTTGTCATATAACAGATAGGATTCCTATGAAAAAGAATAAAATTTCTCTATATGAAATTTGAAAAAATAGAAAACCAAATATTAGTTATTTTAAAGTGTGGGGATGCCTTGCCTATTGTAAGAATATGGATCCTAAGATAACCAAGTTAGGTTATAGAGGTATCAAATGTGCTTTTGTGGGATATGCTCTCAACAGCAAAGTCTATAGATTATTAAATCTAGAAACAAATGTTATAATAAAATCAAGATACGTGGATTCTTCGAGGATATAATGGTGGCTAGGGAATCTGAAAATAATAATAAGGATATTTCAATCTTTAGAAGCTCACTAGAAGAAACATTCATTAAAGATGTTGAAATTGAACCTCAAAGAAGTAAAAGAACTAGAAAAGAAAAGAACTTAGGATCAGATGAAATAGATCCCCAACTTATTTCTTTTTACTTAGTAGAATGAGATAGAAAGGATGTTGTAAGAACAATTCCCCGTGTTCTTCAAGTGGAAAGTGATCCTAAGACTTATAAGGAAACGGTGCAATCTAGAAATTGCATGTTCTAGAAAGAAGCTATAAACAACGAAATGGATTCTATCATTTCGAATAACACTTGGGAAATAGTTGACTTGCCCACAGGATCTAAGGCTATTGGTTGCAAGTGAGTGTTTAGGAAGAAATACAATTTCGAGGGATCTCTTAATACCTACAAGGCTAGATTAGTAGCTAAATGATATCGTCAAAGAGAATGAATTGATTATTTTGACACATATGCACCCGTAGCTAGGATAACCTTGATTAGGATCTTGTTTGCGTTAGCATCCATTTATGACCTACATGTTCATCAAATGGACGTCAAGACGGCATTCCTAAATGGAGATCTCGAAGAAGAAGTCTATATGGAACAACCAGAAGGGTTCGTTCTACCGAAAAATGAACATAAAGTGTGTAAATTAATTAAATCCTT